TCCCTGGAGACGCGTGGCGGCCGGGCCGAGTTCTCCATCTCCAACGCCACCCAAGAGGACTCAGGTGCCTACAGCTGCCATTACCTGGACGGCGACACGGTGCTGGCTCGCAGCGAAACCCTGGAAGTCACGGTGCACGGTGAGGGACATGCCATTACCCCTCCGCGTGGGCCCCCCCCGGGGCGGGCGGGGCCCCTTTTAGCCGTTCGGCTTCCCCATCCGCATCATGGGCAGGGGTTTTCCCCTCTTCCCTGGCTCGGAGAGGTGGGGACCATCTTCAGCTCTGCCCGATCCCAGTGGTGGGGTCATGGAGATCCTGGGGCCTTCAGGAACCACGCGTGCCTTCTCATACCCTCTCCTCTCCCCACAGAGTTCCGTCTCCCCAGACCGGTCCTCTCCATCCTGCCTGGGCGTGACGTGGCTGCAGGAGCTTCCGTGACTTTCCGTTGCGCCATCGCGCACTCCAGTGCCACCTGTTTCCTCTACCGGGAGGGCCAGGTTGAAGCCCAACAAACTTCCAATGAAGACCGGGAGGTCAGCTTCCCTCGGGTGACGAAAGGCGACGGGGGCTGCTACAGCTGCCAGTGTTTCACCTGGAATGCTTCGTTCCAATGGTCTGCTGTCAGCGAGGCCCAGGATTTGGTGGTGAGAGGTAAGACATCCTCCCGGCCACATCCTACCCTGCTCTTCCTCCCCGCAGCTGCCACGTCTTGTGGGGAGAGGAAAGAGGATGTGGGGGTAGAGAGCAGCTGTACCCAAGGTTCAAGCAGAGGATCACAGCTTCCTTCAGATATGTTTCAGCCTTGCCAAGTCCTCAGAAACCCCCACAGATGACCTACAGACCCTATAGATGACCTACTGACCCCACAGATGACCTGCAGACCCCTCAGATGACCTCCAGACCCCACAGATAATCTACAGATGACCTACAGACCCTATAGATGACCTGCAGACCCCACAGATAATCTACAGACCCTATAGATGACCTACAGGCCCCTCAGGTGACCTGAAGACCCTATAGATGACCTACAGACCCCTCAGATGACCTACAGACCCCATAGATAATCTACAGATGACCTACAGACCCCTCAGATGACCTGCAGACCCCTCAGATGATCGACAGACCCTATAGCTGACCTACAGACCCCACGGACGCAGGCTGGCTAGGCTGCCAGTTGGGGGGAAGGGGCAGGGGCCACCCGTGCCT